GATGCTAAGGTCAGCTCCTGTGTCCAGTAGCCCATTAAACTCATGACCTTGAATATTTAGTTTTAGCATTGGGCGAGAATCTAAATTTAAAGACAACATAGCCCAATCTACACCTGTGGAGCCTAATCCCCTGGAACCTCTTTCTACACTATGACTAGGAAATTTATTATGTAGGCTGGGTATTATTAACAACTGTGCTATTCTATCTCCAGGTGAAATTACTGATATACCTCTTGGAGAACTAGCTATAATTTTTATTTCACCTACATAATCGGGATCAATTACCCCAGGACTTATCATAAGTCCTTTTAATGTAGATGAACTACGTCCCAATAATAAGCCTACTGTTCCTTGGGGAAGAGGTCCTTTTACTCCTGTGGGAATGATTTGAACTCCCATCTCTGGAGTTAATACTGCTCTGGCAGAGGCACAGATGTCCAACCCTGCGCTCCCTCGGGTTTGTCTGATGAGGGATTTAATGGACAATGTGTCCTGGGCACTACCCTGATGGTGTTGCTGGGATCCTCCACTGCCCCGTATATTTGTGGTTGTGGGCCCCGGAGCATTGGGCCCCCCTGTCCGTTTTTTGGCAATGGAGCCTGATGCCTTTCTCCACGATATCTTGGATAAATACCTGGTCTTTGTCCGTTTTTTGATAAGGGAGTACCTTCTATGGTGGTTTGAGAACGGCATTCATTAGCCCAATGTCTCCCTCTACGGCATCGTGGGCAAATACCCGGTATTCTATTCCTTTGATACCTACTTTTGTTAAACCCTCCTCTTATGGGGCAATTCCTTTTAAAATGTCCTGTTTGTTCACAATCATAGCATGTTTTTGGCCTGGCATCTAAAGCCTGTTGTACTGCAGCTGCCAAGACTTGCCCTTGTTCATTAATATCTCTACATAATTTAATATATGTGTTTAAATCTTCATGTCTCCATGGTCTAATAACCTCTCTGCAGCAACGATTTGCTTGGTCATAAGCCAGTTGTTTTATTAATGGCATTGCTTGTTCTGTATCCCCAAAAATTTTGGCAGCCGTTTGAATTAGCCTATCTACAAAGTCAGCGTAAGGTTCATTAGCTCTCTGTATTACCTTAGATAGCTGACCTTGTAAATCTCCATGTCCTTGTAAAGTCTTCCATGCCCTAACTGCGTCTGCAGCAATTTGTGCATATATAGCAGGATCATATTCAATTTGTTGCCGTTGACCCTCATAAGGTCCTTTTCCTAACAACATATCTAGATTTCTTTGAGGGTAACCGGCTGCTGCATTTCGCCTAGCTGTCTCCGCACAAAATTCCTCATTGGCAACCTTCCATAACAAATATTGTCCTCCATTTAGTACAGATTTACACATGCTAGCCCAATCTGCTGGCGTCATGTCCAAGTTAGTAATGGACTCGACCATGCTTACCGTGAAGGGAGCTTGGGGCCCGTAGGTTGTTACAGCCTCCTTTAACTGCTTCACTGTTTTAAAATCTAAAGCACGGTGAATTCGCTGCCCTCCTGCCTGTTCAAGTACAGGGCATGCTAATCTTTGAGGTCCTGTCTCAGGATCCCATTTATCAACTACGGGGTTTGAGGGCCACTCAGCTGTCTCCATCGGTGGGGCTGTTGGTTGAATTATGCCCTCTTGTGATAAAATGGAGTTAGTAACAGCCTCCTGTTGTGGCCTTTTTCCTAACAACCCCTTTTCCTTTAAATTTTCTTCCTCTGTCTGACTAGCTCGAGAGACCTTCTCTTTTGCTTGATCTAAAATGTCTTTCTCCATGGTCTGAACCTCTAACAATTTACTTAACATCTTTTCGGTTTGTTTTTTACTAATTTCTAATCTACTATAAAGATAACGCAACCCAATAAGATAGCACAAAACAAAGCCGAAACTGAATGAAACAAAAACGGAATAAAAAATCGTTGTATCAATTTTCTCTTCCTCAGGGCCGACAAACTTCAAACCTTTAGTCAACCATTTTTTCCAGTTTGCCTGAGAAATTTCTAGGGATAGGCAGCTTGAAACAAAAACAAGATAAATCAAAACAATAACACATTGTTTTTTGAGTTGGTCACCCATTCTTTCGCTCTTCCTCAGGGGCGAGCAATTTCACTTACCTCCAAGCTTCAGAAGTTCCCCGTACAAGCCACCAAATGCCGCAGTCTGGCTGGGCACAAATGCCGCAGTCTGGCTGGGCACACAATCACGAGCCACCACACAGCTTGTAGATTCAAACAGCAACTCTTTATTCCCGAACTCACACCAGCCGTCTACAATCACGTTCTGGGGAAATCCACGTTCTCTTCCCAAATCCTCCTTCTCTCCCAAATTCCTCCACTGGGCTTCTATCTCCAAAATATACTGTCTGAATCCCGTGAGAACTCAAGGGGAACTCAGGCAGCAGGATACGCCCTATTCCCAGCAGGAATAATCTTAAACCTTAAACCTGGAACCTAAACTGGGAACGCCCTAAACAAGATTATCTTAAAACCGGGAACACCCTAATCTGCCTTGGTCCTTGAGCAAGGTTAAGTACATTCAATGTCACTGCAACATGGGGTACGCTGGCAAGGAAATTGTCATACTTACTTGGCTAATGGCTCCCAGCAAGAGAGGTGTGTTAAAGTCACCCAAGATTATTGTGTTGTGGTCAGTTTGGCTCTTGAACTTGAGAAGAATTTGTTTGATGAACACAGGTGCAACTTTGGGGCATATATGTTTATGATTGTTATGTCTTGTTGGTGTATAGTTCCCTTGAGCAGTACCTAATGTCCATCTTTGTCCCTTTTGATTAACTTTGGCTTGAAGTCTACTTTATTTGATATGAGGATGGAAACCCCTGCTTGCTTCCACAGTCCATGTGAGTGGTATGATTTTTCCCAACCTTTCACCTTCAGTCTGTGTATGTCTCTTCCTATCAGATGAGTCTCCTGGAGGCAGCATATTGTTGGGTCTTTTTGAATCCAATCTGCTAGCCTATGTCTTTTGATTGGTGAGTTTAAGCCATTAACATTCAGGGTTACTATTGAGACATGGTTTGTATTTCCAGCCATATTTGTTTATGTTTGTTATTTAACTTTTCTTGATTTTCTTCTTTGATTAGCTTTTTCCTTTAAGGGACTACCTCCCTCTGCTGATTTTCATTGGTGTTTTCATGCAATATTTTTCCAAGGATGTTTTGTAGTGCTGGTTTTCTAGCTATAAATTCTTTTAACTTTTGTTTATCATGGAAGGTTTTTATTTCGTCTTCAAATCTAAAGCTTAATTTTGCTGGATATGAGATTCTTGGTTGGAACCCATTTTCTTTCAGATCTTGATATGTGTTGTTCCAGGATCTTCTAGCTTTCAGGGTCTGTGTTGAAAAATCTGCCATTATCCTAATTGGTTTTCCCCTATAAGTAATCCGATTCCTTTCTCTCATGGCTTTTAAACTTCTTTACTTATTCTATATGTTGGGCATTTTTATTATATTGTGCATTGGTGTGGATCTGTTGTGATTTTGTACATTCAGTGCCCTGTGGTCTTTTTGAATTTGTATTTACAATTCATTCTTCCTGTTTGGAAGGTTTTCTTATATTATTTCATTGAGTAGATTGCTCATTCCTTTGGTTTGGACCTCTATGTCTTCCTCTATCCTGATAACTCTTCAATATGGTCTTTAATGCTATCCCATATTTCTTGAATGTTCTGCTCATGGTTTCTTACCTTTATCACTGAGTGGTCTATGTTCTTCTCAAGATTATATATTTTGTCTTCATTGTCTGATGTCCTGCCTTCCAAGTGGTCTACTCTGTTGGTGGTGCTTTCCTTTATGCTTTTAATTTGGTTTATTGTCTTTCATTTCAAGGATTTCTGTTTGTTTGTTTGTTTTTTAGCACCTCTATCTCCCTGTTGAGGTGATCTTTTGCTTCCTGTTATTGTTTATGTAGCTCCTTGATGAAGTGACCTTTCACTGCCTGTATTTGCTCTCTTATATCTTCCTTGAGTTCCCAGAACATTTTAACCATGTACATCCTGAACTCCTTCTCTGTCATTCCTCCTGGCTGCCAATGATCCTAATGATGTGGTGTCTCATTTGTTTGGGGCACTTTCTTCCCTTGTCTTTTCATGGGTGGGTCTTCCTTTCCAGCTCTGTGGGTCTGGGGTGTTATTGTTTTTACCCTATAGGTTTGTAGTGCTCTTGAAGGATTCCAAGACCTCTCCTTTGTGGGGAAGGACAATGTTAACAGATCCTAATATCAACAATATACCACTTATGACAATTGGTTATTATTAAGACGTTTACAGCTTAGTCTCAATGTACAGAAATGTTGGATTCAATCATTATCTAAAACATAATCAGTGGTTTTGTAAAAAGGTTTACAGATTCCGATGGTGGACAGTGACTGGGGGTGGGGCCTAGGACGATGTGCGGAGGAGACAGGATGTGAGGATACAGAGTTAATATATCTTAGGAAGTGTGAAAGGGAAACCTAGTGAAGAGGGTTAGTAGGAAGAGAATAGACAGGAAGTCATTTAGGGTAGGCAAGTATGTGGGACGACAGTAGAGCACATAAGACAAGCACACCTATGTATTTAGAAAAATAGAGGCTGTTAAAACAGTAAAATTTGGAGGGGAAAGAAAAATGAAGGGGCTGGGGATGTGGCTCAAGTGGTAGCACGCTCGCCTAGCATGTGTGAGGCACTGGGTTCGATTCTCAGCACCACATAAAAATAAAATAAAGATATTGTGTCTATCTAAAAATAAATAAATAAATAAAAAACTAAAAAAAAAAAAAAAAAGAAAAATGAAAGAAGAAAAAGGAAAAGAAAAAAAAGGCATATACAACACCTCTATATTATACTATTCAGATGACTCAGTCCTCAAAGCCGTGTTTCATGCAAAGTTCTTGGCTTCACATATGTTGGGGTGTGAGGGCCGGAGGATAGAGGGGGAGAAGCCAGGGTTGTAGCTAGCTGTAGAGCTCCGTGTCTGTGCTGCTTCTCTTCTCCTCCAGCAGGTGGCGTCGTCTGCTGTAAGCTGTGTCTCTGCCCTCGGGATGGTGGAGGTACCCGGTGGGAAGAGTGGTCGGGGGAGTGGCACCGTCAGCCCTGCAGGGAGACTGACCTCACGGGTCTCTTTTTGGGACCGCTGGTATGACTTGAGTGCCTGGTACTATCACCTCTCTTACCCGGAGGTTTTCCAGCTGCAGACTTCAGCCCCATCTCCCTCTCCCCTGGCAGTTCCCAATTGAGGAACCTCTCACCCCAGGGCTCCCGTGGGTGGCTCCTTGGTCGCACTGCACACCTGTGTTGGGCAGCTATTGTGTTGGGTCACTGCTGCTGGGGAGGGGGGAAGGTTGGAAGCCTGGTACCTGGCCGCTGGAGATCTGACCTGGGAACTGCCCCCAGCTGAATGGCGAGAATGTGGAGCCAAGATGGCGGCGGCCTGCTTTCAGCACCGGGGTGTCTGGGAGGTGGGGGAGCCTGGGGAGGTGGGGGGAGCCTGGGGAGGTGGGGGAGCCTCGGGAGGTGGGGGAGCCTGGGGAGGTGGGGGAGCCTCGGGAGGTGGGGGAGCCTGGGGAGGTGGGGGGAGCCTCGGGAGGTGGGGGAGCCTGGGGAGGTGGGGGGAGCCTCGGGAGGTGGGGGAGCCTGGGGAGGTGGGGGGAGCCTCGGGAGGTGGGGGAGCCTGGGGAGGTGGGGGGAGCCTGGGGAGGTGGGGGAGCCTGATGAGGTGGGGGAGCCTGGGGAGGTGGGGGGAGCCTGGGGAGGTGGGGGGAGTCTGGGGAGGTGGGGGGAGCCTGGGGAGGTGGGGGAGCCTCGGGAGGTGGGGAGAGCCTCGGGAGGTGGGGGAGCCTGGGGAGGTGGGGGAGCCTGGGGAGGTGGGGGGAGCCTGGGGAGGTGGGGGAGCCGGGGATGGCGTTGTGCTGTGGGTAGGAAGCAGCTGAGTGACCTGCGTGGGAGCCCAGCGAGGTCTTGGCCATCTGCAGATGTGCTGATAGGTGGTTCTGCTCTGGTGCTCGCCCAGCCTTGTGTGGGCTAGAACTTCGGGCTTTGGGTCCTGCTTGAACACCGGGCATCCTGGTTGAACCCTGAGGCCCGGGGCCCTGCGCAGGGTTACAGCACTGGTGATTTCTGCGGAGAGCGGCTGGACAGGGGTCCTCTACCACTCTCAGAGATGCGGTATTCCGACAAGGTGAGATCTGGGTCCTGGAGCCACACAGAATGCTGCCTCCCTCTGGCCCGCCATCTTGACCCCCGTGGCCCGTATTCTTGATGATTGCCATTCTGGCAGGAGGGAGATGAAATCTTACAGTAGTTTTGATTTGCCTTTCTCTAATTGCTAGAGATGCTGAACACTTTTTCATATATTTGTTGATCAGTTGTATTTCTAGTTCTGTGAAGTGTCTACTCAGTTTCTTAATGTCACTTACGACAACACATTCTCACTAGAACTACCTCAGTCCCAAAGCCCAGGATTTGTCTTAGGGCAGTGCCCTCTGTGACCTGATAGCCTTCCATGAGGTGCCACTGCTTACAGGTTCCACCACCTCAACATTGCCACACTGGGCATTCCGCTTCCGGTACATGACTGTAGGGGACACATTCAGACCATACCCAAACCATAAAAGGCCTTTATGATAAAGCAGTTCTAGGAACACTCTATATGGGTGCTGCTCTGCTTTGGTTGAGTGTTCCCCACAGAGTCCTGCATGGTGTCCCCAATCCATGGTGCTGTTGGGAGGTAGGGAGGTGGGGCCCAGTGAAAGGGTGCTGAGTCCCTGGGGCTCCTGACCCCTTCCTCACTTCCTGGCTCCCATGAAATGAACCCCATCTCTAAACAGGTGAATGCTTATGAGCAGCTTCCTCTACCACGTGCTCCCCCTGATTTACTGACTCAAAACAGGCTCAAAGCAAGTCACCGACCAGCCAGGTACTGAAATCTCCAAAACCACAAGGCACAACAAACCTTTCTTCTCTTGATATCTCAGGTGGTTTGCTCAGTAATGGAAAGTTGACTAACACAGGTGGGGAGAAAAGTCGCCTGTGAGAAAGCAAAACCTCAGGCCCTCCTGACATGGGAGTGAACGGAATCTCTAGTCACCACAAGCCGTGAGCGCAAGGAAGCAGGGTCCCCCTCATGACCAGAACCCAGAACAGTGACAACACGCAGGAGGTTCTCCAAGAGCACATGCGGAATGAAAGCACCATGACCTTGACCGGTCGAATGAGGCAGAGGGGCTGTTTCGTGGATTCTAGAGTCTTAGGAGGTCTATCAGCTTCTGCTTTTGCCTTCTTGGAGCCCTGAGTGACCAAGTTAAGAAGTCTGGTCATCCACTGGGAGAGGACGGGTGGACAGAAAGGCCCTAGAGGGTGAAAGTCATGAGAACGAGGATGAAAGTTCTGCCAGTCCCAGACGAGTGCCCCAACTCATGGAGGGGAAGCTGACCATCCTACCAAGCCCTGTAGGCCACTGGCAGATCCGGGGGCAAATAAAGCTGTCTTTGCTTTATGTCACTAAATTTTGAGGTCATTTGTTATGCACCAGGAGGTAGTGGAAAGTTCCCTTTTCCAAAACCATACAGGCAGGACAGATGGATGAGCATTTGAATGGATGTATAGAATGGGGGGGAGGGTTAGAGTGGAGGAGGGGTTGGGTGGGTGCATAGATGGGGGGTGGAGGATAGATTAACAAATGGGAGGGTGGGAAGCTGAGTGAGTAATTGAGTAGGTGGATGGATGGACAGATGGATGGATGGATGGACAGATGGATGAGTGAATGAATGAATGAGCGTGCGGTTGGGAGGGAATGGATGCTTTTGTGGTGGGTAGATGGCTATGCAGATGGGGGGACAGGCAATGAATGGAGGAATATGCATATGTGTTAAATAGAACTCTTAACAGCCATCGATTTGAGGCTAAAGATAATGAGTAACTCACGTTTTAGCCGACCCTTGAAGGATGCACCTCAACTTTAAGTTGAAATCTGTACAACTCAAAGCCAAAAAGGGAGCTACCATATGTCTTCCCGATTTCCATCTAACTGAGGGCAGGCAGCAGGTTGTTGTGTTACTATCATCCCGATGACAAGGATGACCCCGAGATCATCCTTCGTTCCCCAAGAGGAAGCTAGGCAGACTTGTCCTGTGGCCTTGGCCAGTGTGTCCACCCTGTGCCAGAAGCACTCTGTCATCATGAACGCAGGGGACACCACACGTCCTAGAACACACAGCCCTTCCTGTTCCTCGTCCTCAGGACTGTCACGGCCCTTTGCTCTGCTCGTCCAGCTCAGAGGAAACCTTGGTGGGTCCCACTGGGTCCACAGAGCAGATTGGACAGCTCTGGTATTTTGACAACATGGCGAAACGCAGTGCAACTCCCTTCAATGGGGGACTTCCTTAATGTCTCTCTGAACACTGTTCCCTGGGCTGTTTGTTAATGAGCATTTTCTTCCTTTTTCTTTTCCACGTTGAAAGTTCTGAGCTTTCCATACCCTGTGTTAGTCAGGGTTCTCTAGAGGAGCAAAATCAACCAACCAAAGTACAAGTTATAAAAGGGGCCTTTTAGGTTGGCTTCTGTGACCAGTAGCTGGAGAGTCCGCAGCGGCCGTCTGCAGGCTGGACAGCTGGAAGAACGGGCAGCTGCGCAGTCCAAGAGGCTGAGGCCCAGAACAGGAGGGGTCAGCAGTGCTGCCCTCTCTGAGACCGTAGGCTTCTGGAGAATCACTGGCAGAGCCCGCTTTGGAAGAGTGAAGGAGTGCGAGTCCCATGTCCTCAGATGACCACGCAGCGATCGAGAGCCCATCCACGAAGAACCGAACTTGCATCCGCTGCTGAGGCCTCTGTTTTCTTCCAACTTTTATTCCACCCAAGCTACCATCCTGTCGGACGGTGCTGCCCACACTTAGGGAGGGTCTCCTTTTCAGTGGCTGTCCATCCCACAGGCAGTCATTCCTAGACCCCCCCCCCAGTCACGGACACACCCAGAAGCCTCTTAACCCTCTGCATCTCTTAATCCAGTCAAGTTGACCGTTCAAATTAACCGGTACAGACCTGTTTGTGGAGTCCTGGTGCTAAAGAGCAGAATCCCCACATTGTCCTTGAAAACCCCAGGGCTGATTTAACAAGGGGGAGGGGGAGGGAAAAGAAAGAAGAGCAAAGAAGGCAAGGCCTCCCCAACCTCCGCATGGGTAGGCATCAGGTCGGCACCATTCTCATCCTGAGAGGGACTTGCGGATGTCCTCTCAGGCACCGTGGCACACTGGGACTCTGGTCAGATGGCGTGTCCAACTTTGCTCTCTGAAAACACCTGCCTTCTGCTTCTCCTAATTGGTCACCCGAGCAACAACATAGACTGAACCCCCTTTCTAGACAGGTGGATACTTGGGAGCACGGTGGACGTGTGGGGCCTGGTCACCCCGTGGTGGAGCTGCCCTTGAGCTGCGTCCCGGCCTCCACCTGCTCCAGCACCTGCCCCTCGTAGCAACCCCAGAGGTCTCCAGGGGTGTCTCCTGGGGTGGGGGACAAAATCACCCCTGTGAGAACTGCTGAATTAGACGATGAACTGGACACTTTGCTTTTCCTATTTAAAGAGCATCTGAATGTCTCTGTTTGTTTAGATGAAGTTTCTACTTATTTCCTCGTCACATTTGGATTCCTCCTTTGATCTCATAGGGACCGTACGTAGTCTAGTACGGATCCCTCTGGTAGTGGTGTGACTTACGGCCCAGTGCGGGGTCAAGCTTTGTAAATATTCCCTAAGCAATTCTAAATTAGGTATTTTGAATTATGTAATGTAGTTTTAACATAAAATTTCCCATTTTAACCATCGTTGAGCGCCCTGTTCTCTGGTGTTACACGTTTCCACACTGTTGGGCGCCCATCTCCAGACTTTCTCCCACCCTGTGCAGAAACCGTCCCACACCCTGCAAGCCCTCCCACCAGCCCCAGCACCCACCCTTCCGTTTTCTGTCTCTATGGATCTGGGACTCCAGGGGCCTCCCGTGAATGGAATCACTAGGATTTGTCCCTTTGAGACTGGTTTATCTCACTCTGCAGAATGAGAGTGATTTTGGTCTTGTTTTGGTTTGGGGTTTTCTTTTAGAGATGGAGGACCTCACTATGTTGCCCAGGCTGGCCTCAAACGCTGCGCCTCAACCCATCCTCCTGCCTTGGCCTCCCAAGAAGCTGGGACTACAGGCATATGCCACCCCACCCAGCTAGAACTGCCCTCCTTTTAAAAGCTGGGCACTATCCCATTGTGTGAATATAGCCCATTTCTATCCATTTATCCATCCATAGACAGGGTGATGCTGTAAGACTGCCAAGACCACAGGTGTGAACACCTGTTCGGTCCTGCTGGGGGTATCTGAGAATCATTGGATCCTACGGGGATGGCTTTAATTGTTGGAGGAGGTATGTGGTGTTTTCCATAGCTGCTCCATCTACATTCCCCAGCTCCCCAGCACCTTCTAATGCATATCACGGGGTTCAGCAGCTTTCCGTATATGTGGCCGGGAGATGGAGCTTGTTCATGGGGCTCTTCGGTTACTTCCCTGTTGACATTTTGTCTTCCTGAGTCATTCATTGCTAAAGACGTGCTTTAAAAAAAAAAAAAACATTTTAGTGGTGAAGTTGTCTAAGATAAGATATTTTACGTTATTTTTGACTCCCTGTCTGCAGAGCATTTTACATAAACAGCACATTTCTTTTTAATTTGTTGTTTTTAGATGAGCATGACAGTAGGGTGTATTTTGACATATTACACATACATGGAGTGCAGCCCGTTCCAATTCGGATCCCATCTGGTGGTTGAACATGATGTGGAGTTTCACTGGTTGTGTGTTTACATATGAACGTAGGAAACTTATGCCCCATTCATTCTGCTGTCTTTCCTACTCCCAGTCCCCCACCCTTCCCTTTACTCCCCTTAGTCTAATCCAATGAACTTCTGTACTTCCCCTCCCTACCCTACCTTGTTGTGTGTTAACATCTGCATATCAGAGAAAACATTTGTCCTTTGGTTTGGGGGGATTGGCGTATTTTGCTTAACATGATATTCTCTAGCTCCACCCATTTATCTGCAAATGTCATAATTTCATTCTTCATTAAGGGCGAGTAATATTCCATTGTGTGTATATATACCACATTTTCCTTATCCATTTATCTGTTGAAGGGTGCCTCAATTGGTTCCAGAGCTTAGCTACTGTGAGTCGAGCTGCTATAAACATTGATGTGCCTGTATCACTGTATTATGCTGATTTTAAGTCCTTTGGGTATATGCCAAGGAGTGGGAAAACTGGATCAAGTGGTGGTTCCATTCCATAAACAGCCCATTGCAATTCAGACCATCCACATCGTTTGAGTAGTTCTATCAATTTTTGCTACATCAATTTTGAGGCTGTGTATTTGAACCAACACACACTTAGAATGACTTCATGACAGAGACTTAGTTGACTCTAACAATGCTTTTCACATTAAGCCCTGTGATATCTGGTACTAATACGGTTAAACCAGCTTTCCTTCTATTTCCTTCCTTTAACTAGTAACTTGTTAAATCATTTATTTCTTTCCACTTTCATGTAGTGCATATTGCTGGATTTTAATTGTTATCCAGCCTGAAAATGCCTGTCTAATATCTGAAGAATTTAGACCATCACTGTCCAATAGGCATGCAATATGAATCATTTATGTATTTAAAAGCCACAATTAAACAGTTTTTAATGTGGTGAAATGAATTTTAATAATATATTTTACATAACAACCTACATGGCATATCCAAAATATTATTGTTTCAAAATTGTAACCAATATAAGGATATGTTACATTCTTTTTTTTTTTTTTTTTTTTTTTTTTTTTTAAATATTTATTCATTTTTTTAGTTCTCGGTGGACACAACATCTTTGTTTGTATGTGGTGCTGAGGATCGAACCCGGGCCGCACGCATGACAGGCGAGCGCGCTACCGCTTGAGCCACATCCCCAGCCCCACATTCTTTCTTTTTCATTTAAGGTCTTCCAATTCTGCAGTGGATTTTAACAGCACATGCCAGTTGGGAGGGTCCTGTCCAGGAGCCCGAGAGCAACATACCGTCAGGTCACTGTACTGAAGAGTGAAGACCATTTGCGTTAATTCTAATCCCTAGTAAATTCGGCTTTGTTTTTAACTGTTTGTCATCCTAGGTATCTACTTCTTCCTTGTTTTGGATTATTCTCCTCTCATTTCAGTTTCTTCTCCTACTTAATTTATAAATTATGCCTTCTTGGGCTGGGGCTGGGGCTCAGTGGTAGAGCACTTGCCTGGCATGTGTGAGGCACTGGGTTCAATTCTCAGCACCACATATAAACAAATAAATAAGTAAAGGTCCATCAACAACTAATAAAAATATTTTTTAAAAAGAGATTATGCCTTCTACTCCTATTCTTCTGGAAATTTCCTTAGAATTTTTTTAGTTTATACACTTAATCTATCAAAGTCTATGGCTACTGCATCTCCTCCACCTCCAAAGTCCTGGGACCAGGTCT